AGAGGAAGATGCAAACCATCGCACAAAAAGTTGGACTTCTGGACATGCCAAAGGACGGTAGAAGTTACACGGCTGTAGGGCACCATTACGGAATAAATTAATCTTCGGTTCGTTACATAAAGAAGAAGGAAAATAACATAAGGACAAAAGCAGCAATAAGTTTTAAGAAGGATGCAAAAAGGGTCGTCATTGTCCTGTCTGAGAAAAGTGTATAAAGTGTGTGGTGAGGGGTTTTACAGCCTTAAAACAGATATAATAATTGTAAAAAATAAAGCTGACTACTTCATGGATTTCGCCTATTGCGGGTTATTTTTAGAACATAACCCCTGCGATCAATGAGAGACCACTGTATTGTAATTTTATTAGAAAAAGCCAAAATGAGATTTACCTATACCCCCATAGCGCTGGGTGTGGCTAAGAACCTCAATACAATATGTATCTTGAGAACTATTCCTAAACATAGAAAAGTTAAAAGTTTACTAAATTGATGTTTTTAGGTTGCAGATTGACAAAATGCATTGGAATTACATGTTCTTAATGCCCTTGATATCAGAATGCAAATGTATGGATAACTAACTTTTGCAGCTCATCGTGAAAGCGTATGTGCAAGTGTAGAACCATGCAACTTATAACAAACTTAAATTGTTTAAGGCTACGTTTATATTTGATGACGGTCTGAACAGAAGATGCGAAATTGGCGTCCCGTCTTCACTTTTTATTCCACGTTTAGACGAGCGTTTTCAAGAGGAAATCTGCGTGCATATGGCGATGCAAAAGTGTGTGGAATTCGATTGGGTATGCATGCCAGGCAGCTCGGTGGTGACACTAGGTGGGCAGACGTGAGCAGATCTGACCAGAGTTTTGCTTCTTGGACAGTGTAGACAGAAACACTACGGCGGAGCGTATTCAACTTTTCCAATCTGGAGGGTGGTTTCAGATTTTTGCGTTTTTAAGTCCCAAAAATGCCGTTATCAGTCTAAACAAGAGGCACTTCCAATAAAATATTTAGTTGTTTTTACCCGCAAGCGTTCTCGTGTAAACAGCCCCTAAAAGTATCACAATACGGCATCTCATATGGACACACACATTTCCAGGATGTCCATTACGACATGTTTCCATATCAATATTTAGAGTACATCCTGTCCCCCATCCCCATTAGATATTATATAAGCCTATAATGTTATGAAGTCATCTATATCCCCACAATAGATGGCCTCTGAGACATGCCCATTCACCACACTGTCAGCACCATGGTCAAGGCAAGGTTAAAGAGATTTAAAAATAGGAACGACTTTTGTATGAGGCATATTAATTACACTATAGTGTGTCTATAAGTCGGGATAGTAGTGTTGATTTGATGTGTATTAAACAGATGGTGACTGTCATCAGAAGATAATTAGGAGAATAGAAATGCCCACCTTCAAAAGACCTTCTGTCCATGTTGCTTTGTTCACAATAGTTTAATAATATATAGCAAATAACACTGGCATTATAGTTGTGCTTGGGAAGCTAACGTGCCACAGTGTAGTATCATTATTCATTCAATGCAAATTCTAAAAGGCAGCTGATGAGTGCTACGGTGTTCCCTTATAACCATCTACTAACACAACAGATTTATCGTATTTTCCGCTCTTAAGCCTCCAACTCCATCAAAAAACGACCCCACAATCCAGAGCGCCCTATACACGAATCCACTCGGGTGTCCCAGTACGACTTCAGTAAACTACAAAGCCGCACCACCCGCAGCGCACGCAAACACACACGGAGCAGACAGCGACCGCACAGCGAAAAAACACCCACAGCCACACTCATCACTCCACGCCGACGAGGAACGGAACAGAGGAACGAACCGAAAAAGCGAGTGCAATGTGCCACTTCTAGTCTAGACACAACTGAACAACTGAGTCACTGCGAACACGCCGACAATCCAGCGGCAGACAGCACCCTCCCTACACGCCACAACTGAACAAAGCCCAGAGTCACCGTGAACGCGACAAACAAAGTCCCGACTGACCCATCCAACTGTTGCATGTCGTTTAAAGTTCGTTGTGGTTTATTTGTGAAAAAAGTTTGAAAATAGACCATTCAGTGACAGTGCGCTTTATAATCCAGAGCGCCCTATACTGCGGAAAATATAGTATTTTGTATAAAAGCCGATTGGGTGAAGTTTCTTGCCCAAGAACAGGAGGATTTACAAATATAAGATTGAACCTTCCACCTTCAGTTTGGTATGTTTAGGACTCCAAAAACTGAGCTACTGCCACCCACTAAAAACACGTACTTCCTAATTCTAAAAACAGTATTCAAAGACATATTCTATGGCACCAATAAATCATTATGTTATATTTTGGACTTTGTTTTTGCAGTAGCCAAAATGGCTACGCAACGCTGCCAAACGCTACGAGTATCACCAAAGAAAACAAAGTAAGTAGAGAGCAGTGTACATGCGGTGGGGCAGATTGGAGCTATGACATCTTGAATACAGGAGGATAAAGATTACTTCAAAATGCATGAACGCATTCTAAATACAGCTTCAAGTGGATAAATGAGGAGGAAACCATGGTTAAAAGCTCTAAAAAGTCAATTTAGCAGAACAAATTTGTGGAAATGTGGAGGTTTTGATTTGGTCAAGGAAGCATCCTGAAAAATATTGTCAAGGCAAAACAAAAAACAAAACTCAACACTGCAAATGTAGCTCATTCATTTTTTTTTCCAGTGTATACCCCAAAATGTTAAACAATGCACTTCAATAGCCTGTTTTCAGCACATAAACCATAGTGTATGATGGATGGACTCATGTTGTAACCTGAAACATACCACTTCCTCCATCGTTCTGTTTGATTCACCACAGCTTTAAGCCAATACATTTCAAAAAGAGGACATTAGACGGTATCTTGTTTCTAATATCCCGAGGCCTTATCGACTGGAGCGAGTTCAAACGTGAAAAACTCACACTGCTCTGAAATTCAAGATGCCAAAGCTGATGCACTTATCATAACAAGCAAAACTGCACTACCACATTTAGATTGTAGATCCAGACAACGTAGAGAGCCTGTCCAGACAAGGCAGTTATCGCTATGCAAATACCAGAGTTTAGTTCTGTCATCATCCAAAGACAAACACAACCAAACAGTCTGCTGCTAATATCAACACATGGAGAAAGCAGAGAGGAGAGGGGGTTTCCACAAGCAGCGAAGTGTGAGGGGCGAAATGAAGGACAAGAGGAGAGTCTGATAAAGTCTGTGTTGTGATTGTGCCGTGAGGGAGGCTGGATGTAAAAATAAGCATCATGTAAAGGAGTATATGCTGGAGATAGAGCTGGTATTTGTCCTTTTTAACATTTCAGCTATCGGCACACACAAAGCTTTATTTTAATACTTTATATGAAGCGATAACTGCACAAAACATGACAACAGCTCTCTTAAATGTTTGTGGTAAAGGGCTACAAGTCAATTTGTAGTAGTTTATAATTTAAATTGCATAATTTGGGAAAAATAATCAAAATCAGCCCTATTATACTGGCCAGAAAATATCGTCTGTCAGTTTCTCTGGATTCTTAACAACCGTCATCAGTCATGAAAAAATCCACATCAGTCAATTTGTATTATACACAGAGATGACGCTACCTGTTGTGGTTCATAGAGGTCCTCGGGCAAGACACTTACTCAACCTTATTATCAACTCTGGTTTGCTGCCTCAAGAGAGTATCTGATATGACAACTTGAAAAATTAAACTAAGCAAGTACAAAAGTTAACATATTTTAAAACGTACCTTCCTTTATATAAATTTATACATTAGAATTCATGCTCATGGATACGATACTATATAAGAGACAATAAAAATAACATGGTTTAACTATATAAATGTTTAAAACCTGAAACATGTAGACATATATATGGTTGTTGAATTGTAGAAATGTTAGACAAAGGGGAGCATATACTTTTTAAGGCGAATGTATTAAGCCTTCCTTAAAACTGCTTTATTACTTCCTTTTTCAATAAATAATGTAAGACTTTTTAAAGGTATTTGTGGCATCTACAAAGTTAGTGTATCTGTAATTATTTGTGTATATTTACAACGGAAATAACCCCAATAAATTAATCATTCTCCTTATGAATTACCAATAGGGGTGTGCAAAAATATTGAAATATCGATATATCGTATCGTTTAATGTGATGATACAGTATCGATATCATGGGCTGCTGCATCGATATATCACTAAGAGTATTTTTGGTGTATTTTACTAAATTATTTTGTTACAGTGCCACAGTTTTGTTGCTTGTTTAGAGGAAGGAAACTCATTTATGCGACACATTTGACATTTTCACTGTTTTGATGATTAAAATGTTTGTGTTTCATATGAACTTTGCACAAGAAGTGGTTTAACAAAGACTTTTAGTATCACAGATATGATTATTTTTATTGAACCACATTAAATCAAATTATATCATATCGAATCGAAAGTGCACTGTATCAAGATATGTATCGTATCATGGCCTATGTATCAATGTATGTATCGTATCGGCAACTTCTTACTGATACCCAGCCCTGATTACTATTATTAAAGACAATCTATGACACCCATGGATGATTATGTTATGATTTGCACATTTTAAATCGTAATACTAATCTAAAACGATAAAAGAAACAGTGGGAGCAGACATTGCCGTAAATGTCATCACAACAAAGAATCGACAATTTTGAGAATAGCAGTAAGTAGCATTCTTCTATTTTTTTATTTGTACCAAAATGACTCCTATGTGTATCATCGTCACTGATTAAGAAAATAAAATCGAGTAAAAGTAAGTAGAAAGCAATGGGCAAATACTGATGAAAGTGAAAAAAGGTGTTAATTGGCAATATGAAGTTTTGAAAATATGTGATTAAAGAAAACAACTATAACGCTCTTGCATAATAGGTCTGATTTAATACTTTTTATGTGGAATATCATACATACCTATATATATTTGTATTATTGTCACATTTGGTGGGTTCAGACCTGTAGCAGTGTCCCGTGGATGTGGTTGTGTTGAATGTCGGGCCCGGGCGTCACTGGAAGCTCCTTCAGTAAATCACAGACCGTGGACGGAACCTGAGTGACCAAAACGAACGGGACGAGGGCGCGAGCGGCCATCTCCCTGGTCCTGTACACAGCCGAGCGCCCACATCTGCAACACAACGGCACAGAGACACATTTTAAAAAATATTCTAAAGTCTGTAAAATGATTCATTAGTGCTGAAACAGAACAGTCCTGGGGCTGCTCTTATCACAAGGCAAATGTATGTAACAGCTGCAGAAATTTAATGAAACGTAGTGAGCCAAGAGAAATAGACAATTAATCATGATTACAGACAAACACAACTGTCAAAAAGCAAAGAATTACAATTATATTAAATGTATGTATTATTATTATTTTTTTAAACTTACAATTAAGTGTCTATGTGGTTTTCTTTTTGCTTTATAACATAACATAAGTTTATTATTAAGAGCAGAAAAAGTGAAAAACATGAAGAATTCCACTAGTTTTGTTTCGTTTATGTTGAAAATAATTGTTTAAAAAATATAATTTCATCTTCTTAATTAAGTATAAATGTTTAATATCCTTATTAAGTACCCCATAAAGACAACAGACAATAGACAATTAATCATGATTACAGACAAACACAAGTTTTAAAAGCAAAGAAATACAATATGAAATGTATTTATTATTATTATTATTATTTTTTACTTACAAATAAGTCTCTATGTGGTTTACTTTTTACTTTATAACATAATTAAGTTAATTATTAAGAGCAGAAAAAGTGAAAAACATGAAGAATTCCAATTGTTTTGTTTCGTTTATGTTGAAAATAATTGTTTAAAAAATATAACAGTGAAATTTGATATTCTTAATTAAGTATAAATGTTTAATATCCTTATTAAGTACCCCATAAAGAAGATCAAGTAACCATTAAATGCTGCTATAATACATAAAACAACACATGCACTTGAGATTATATTTGCTATTAAAAACTATGAGCAGTCTGTTTCTGGTGAAATTAAACAGTTGTCAGACGGACAGTTGACAAAAGAACCAGATTTGAACCATGACTTAACCCGTCCGGAAGTAGTCTAGCCTTGTGTGTTTGGGCCCACACAGACTGTGTTGAGAGGGTCAGACATGGGCCTGTGCTGTGGGTTTCCTCCAGGCTTCTTCAAACTATTTAAATACATGCAGGGAATAATAGTTTTTGCTATAATTTCCTGTATGTATTTAATAGTATAAATAGGATAATAAATAATTTGGACTTTGAAGTGTTCTGGATTGTGTGGACGTTTTGGACTCATCCTCTCATATATATGTATTTTTTTCTTTTTGCAACATAATTCTATAACTCTTTCTTCATATATTTGAGGTTTTCTTTATGTATATTAAATGTAGAAAGTAGTAAACATATATATATTTAAAAAAAATATTGTAATTCAGTCAGCACATTCACTAATAATGGCACAGATCAGAGGTGGGACCAAGTCTTTGTGTTGCAAGTCTCAAGTCTATGACCTCAAGTCCAAGTCAAGTCCCAAGTCAAATACAGGCAAGTACAAGTCGAGTCTCGAGTCACTGGCCCATAACTCCAAGTTAAGTCCAAGTCATCTGAAATTCAATTTGTCAACTTGAATTTCTCAAATTAATTAATTAATTTATTAATTTATTTATTTATTTGGTTTCTCAACTTTTTTTTTAATCTGAATTTCTCAACTTGATTTTCTTTTTTTTTACTGAATTTGCAACTTGTGTTTATTTTTTTATTATTTTAATTTCTCTACTTGATTTTTTAATCTGAATTTGAAACTTGAGTTTTTTTTTAATAATCATTATTTTAATTTCTCTACTTGATTTTTTTCTTATTTGAATTTGCAACTTGAGTTTTCTTTTTTTAATCTGAATTTCTCAACCTGAATTTTGTCTGTCTGAATTAAAAATGCTGAAAAGTAATGTACAATCACACCCACCTATCACATGCTAATGCTTTTTCCCCCGAAATTATTTTCATTTCAACAATTTTTTTTAAATTCAAGTTATTTCATTCATCATAAAATATTCTCATCATTCTCTTCAGGCACATCTATACTTCCATACATTTTCAACTAGTTTGTTGCAGGCCTTATAAGGTGCACTGGTGAATCTAGACCCCCCCGCTAAACGAATGTGAAAGTGCATGTCTGTACGAGTTTATGGGCCTGTCCTGTTGTACCATCTCCACGTGTAAAGCTGCTGGTTACAGTATTCAGGACCGAAGTGAGACCGGTCACCCGAAGTGCAGCTAAATTTACTCCTGTTTACAAGATGATACAGTTTCCTTCTCCCGTGTCATAACAGAAACATGAGGGGAGGATGGGGACTTAAGACAAGTGGGAGCAGAGCCAGAGCAGTATTAAATAAAAAGGTTACTGGTGACATTTTAACAGTCAATAATATTTACAAGAGTTTAAATGCAAAGATGTTTAGTTGTTTACATTAAGGGGCTGATATTTTGCTATTTTCTGATCTACGTTATAATGTTTCCTTATCAAAAACGTACCAGGAGTTGTGTTTTGTTTCATTCACAAACGTTCATCACTGAAGCTCTGAAAATGTAGGCTGAGAAAACACGACGTTCCACCTTGTGATGTCATGCGGTAATACAGGAAGTGCGCCACTGCGTTTTCAACCTCCAGACCTTATAACGAGAATGATTTGGATAATTTTAACCCCGGAATAGTGAATCTCTACTGAACTAAAAGTGAAAGCTGCTAACTTGAAAACTACTACTACCACATGAAATTATAAGGTAGAACAGAGCATTTTGAGATTTGGAAATGTAAACAAATTAATAATGCAGGATTACGCAAATGTGTGAATGAAACAAGACACAAGTAAAGCTATGTTTTTGAGGAGTTTTATTATAACATGGCTTAAAGCTCCATTTTGTGCAATATAGGACCTTGAATGTAATTAATTCATATATATTTTTTTTTTTCCTGGGGATCAATAAAGGTATATTCAAGATTCTAGGTATATTTTAGAAACAAAATGTGAATAAATGGGTATGAGAAATAGAGTATTTTAGGGCTAGGTTACAGGTACAGATTTAATTACTCAGGAGCATTTGTAGTCCGACTATAATCCTGTCTTAGTCTTGGTTTGGTCCTTGTTTAGACCAGATTTAGTCTTGGTTTACTCCTGGTTTTGTTTGAGTTTACCCCTCACCTTTGAGACTAATATTTCTTTAGATACTGCAATAAGTTTAAATATCAGTGTTATATCTAAGACAGTTCATCCAGCATCTAAACGAGAATATTCAAAATGTTTTTAAGGTCTATTCAGGGACTTCTGCTTCTTGTTATATGCAACAATTTTGAGGACTTTTTCTTCCATTCAAAAGATACAGTTCCTAATAACTATTAATAATTTAAAATTCAACTGTGTATTAACTTTTCATCAGGCCCCGTGATAATGACAATGAAATATTTTTGTTATTTGTGATTGACACGAGCTATAGTCTGAATATAAGCCGGCTAGAGCCCTATTAAAAAGCCTCATTTAATGTCCTTCTTAGCAGGCCTCTGTGGTGAGGAGACAAACAGCCCTGTGTCATAAAGCAAGTATAAATATGGATCTATATAGAGCGTGCAACTGTCCATGTCATCCACAGTGACACATAAGACCCATGGGCCCCGGGTTCACTCCAGGCAAAGGCTGTATATTTTGTTCACTTGGTGTCCAGGGATACATCAGGAACATAAACTGTGCAAAGGACTATACGTTACACGAAGAAGCCCAAACAACTGAGGGCCAGGAATAATATGGAAAAAAACAGTTCATTTATATTTAAAGGAACTGTATGTAAGATTTTGATTCCATAAACATCACCTATCTGTGTCTCCAGAAATCAAATATATCTTTTACTGATAGAAATTCTAATGCTGATTTATTCTTAATTACAAAAACTCTGGACATGATGTGGCATGTATTTATGCTATCCTTTGGTGTTTTGGTTCTCAAGACAAATTATCCATTCAGAAAGCAGAATGAGCCTCACAGAAATCTCTCAGCATCTTCAGCTTAACATTAACCAAAGCTAATGCAGCCTTTGCAGCTCAGAGAGTGAATTTTGAAGGTTGTGAGTTTCACATGAGTCTTGGTCTTTCCATTTACTGACTAAAACATGTATCAGTCTTATAAGACGCTACATAGAGTATTAGTAAAGTACTGTTGAAAAAGAAAACATTATGCTTAATAAAATCAGACCTGCAAACTCCTCAGAGAAAAAAAGGTGACAGTGTCCGGTGGTGGGTGGTGGGGTTTACATGAGCTTTAATTCCGATTAAAAATAATTTTATTCGGAATAAAAAACAATTATGCTTTAAAAAGACCATGTAAACACTTAATTCCTAATGATTACTCGGAATTAAACTTAAATTAAGTGGGTGGTTTATTACAATTTTAAAGCCGGGGGTGAACAAGACCAGTGCGAAATGGACTGGGTCTGAGTGGTTCCGTGCCGTCCTCTGCGCACAGGATCCATGCGGCGAAAGTGAGAATGCGATTACAGGTCCGAGCGGGTTGCTCCTGTCCTCCGTGCTCGAGGACAGCGGCTGGTTCCGAGGTGGTGCAAAACATCCTGACAGAAGCGCGAATCCTGTTTGGTTGGTTATATCTTATTCTGAGCGATCCATCCTTTGTGCATTTGGTTCTTCCTGGGGAAAGCGCTTCTCAGGCCGAGGCACTTAACACCACTACCCACTCCAGCTCATCTGGGCCCAACCTGAACCATAGCTGCTCCCCGATGGTTCAGGAATCTGGGTTTGGACCGCTGTTCCCCAGTTTGTATTTCCATGCGTAATGACAAACCGAGATGACAAAAAAGAAGCTGATGTGTGTGTTTTCTTCCAGTAGACGTAGACCCAACTGACCAAGAAAAAGGTGATTGTAGCTGAAAAGCGACAAGTTTACAGGTCTGTAAAATGATTTCGTTACACATTTTAGAGTCTGTATAGTTCATATAATTTGCCTGGGCTCCAGAAGACAAACTTCTTCAGTACTCGTCAAAGATAAGATAAGATATGCCTTTATTAGTCCCACAGTGGGGAAATTCCAGTGTAGCAACGCGCAATTCAAGAACAGCAGGAAAATGGTAACCAGCA